GCGCTGACTATATACCAGGCCTTGTGCTAAATACTTTACAGTTGTTCTCTTATTTAACCCAAGCAATAATGCTATTGTTATCCCTGAGGAAACAGGCAAACAGAGGTGAAGTGACTTGCCCAGGGTCACACAGCTAGTAAGTGTTAGAGGCTGAATTTGAACTCAGGTCTTCCTGACTCCAGGTCCCGTGCACCACCTAACTGCCCCTCCATCCACATACCTAAGTATGTGTACATGTGTGTACACATACATACGTGTTCCTAGGTGCACCCACGTGCAATTCCAGCATATCCCCACAGACACCCACAACAACCTCCATGACCCTGCCCTCTGCCCCTCTTTTCCCCGCTTCTGCTTTTGATCTCCGTGGGCTAGAGTTCCACATTCCATTTCCCCTGCCCTCCCATTGACCCTGCCATCATTCTCTACCACAGGCTTAGCAGGGAGCGGGCAGAGAAGCTTGTGGTTGTGGCCGGGGTTGGGTTGGGGCGAGGGACGGTATCCAGAGGCCTCAGCCCAGAACTTAACAACGTCGGGAGCACTGAGGCAGCTCCTACTGGGTCTCCACTTGCAGAATGGGGGTCTTTGCTTTTTTTCCCTTCTTCTCTGAAAAGAAAAGCCAACATGACCAGAGAGGGAGTGTCCTTGGTGAAGGGGACCCCGAGGAGGCCCCAGAGGCCACTGCCTCAGGGCAGGGGGGAGCTGGGGCCCAGGCCCTTCTGCATTCCCTCTGTGTCCACAAAGACTCTGGGACTGCTGAGGTCGCCTGGTCTACCTCGCGCTCTGACAAGGGCTCACCCACTGGTCAGAAAGGAAAGCCTTCTTTAGAGGGTCCAGCGGGCCTGGGAGGAGAAGGAGGGCTAAGCGTAAGACAAAGTGCTGCTCTGTACTGAGTGCCGGGGTGGCAGAAACAAGCAGACAAGGCAGGGCCTGCCCCCAGGATGCTTACATTCTGAGAAGAGAGCCAGCACCGAAAGGGGATCTTGGAGGTGGAAGGAAGCTGGGGACGGGGAAGGCAAATCCCAGTCATCCCGGGCACAGGGGAAGGGAAGGGAGCCAGGAGAGCGGAGTTTCAGGTGTCTCAAGTGGAAAGGGGAGGGCCAGGAGGAGGAAGAGCCTGGAGAATCAGTGGAGGCGCGATTCTCTTTGAGTCCTCAACTTCTTTCTGAGCCCAGCTCAAAGGCCACCTCCGCACCCGCACATGGACACGTGTCCCTCTGGCCTGAACACGAGGCCTGGGGATGAGAGCTGGGGCCCCGGCTGTTATCTCTCTCTCCCTCTCAACATGCCCTCACGTTTCTGTAGCCCCTTGGTGGAACGGAAGCTTCTTGTGGGCTGAAATATTTCTTTTTTTGTCGTTGTATCCTCAGCGCTTGGCACAGTCTGGCTCATAGTAGGCACTTAATATGTGGGTCTTGAATTATACAGGGCTGGTCTTTCACGATGGAATCAGTTGAAAACCTTTGATGAGGAAGAAGTTAAGGTGGGGGAGCAGGTGGGGGCCACCATCCCATCAGGGGATTGCTTTGGTTTATGGAACTGGGAGCATTTTTGCAACATGTACTGGGGTCTTTCCATGATTATTTACAGTGCTTAGCACATAGTAGGGGCTTAATAAATGCTTGTTGATTGATTGATTGATGGTTACCACATGCTGCCCACCGGAACCTGTCCTGAATCTAGATCCCCTCTCTTTGTGTCCACTTTGGGATCCTGTGGGTCACAAAGCTGGGCCACAATGTTTATTACCCTTCACCTAAAGGTCACTGGGGAGAGATGATTCCCCCCTGGAAAAATGGAGCCGAACTAGACTCTGGGACACGTTCCTTTTCCTGTTCATTCATTCATTTGTTCCCTTTTTTGTACCAGGCCGGGGTCAGGGATACAAAAACAGAATGATCTTTTCCCTTAAGGGGTTTTAGTGACCTGTCCAGGGTCCCAGAGAATGTGTCTCAGGTGCTACTGGAACCTCGGAGGCTGGCTCTCTAATCCACGATACCTCTGTGTGTATATACACACATATGTATGTACTTATATGTACACAGGGTGTATGTATCTGTTCTTATATATGTATGCGTGCATGTGTATTCACAACCACTTACACAGCCCCTGTATCCCTTGGCCCAGAATGACTTTCTAAAGCACTCGGGGCTTGAACGAGGAGGTGAGGGGATGGGGTAGGGGGTGGGAGGAGCTGTGTTTCTAGGAGCAGGGCACCCACAGCCCTCTGACAGTGAAGGGAAAAGTCATTTCTACTTATCTGACATGTAGTGCAAATATGCCTCAGCCTGAAAATGAGTTAAGTTTGAGGTTCAGATTTTGTAAAGTGAAATTCTGTAACATAAATGGGCTTATATGAATGGTGACCATCTTCCCCCCATCCCTCAGCCTACCCTGCCCCAAGCCCTAGGTTATCTGTAGTGAACTTTTCTACAGTATGGCCCCTCTAAGGTTTAACCTGCTCATCACCATCACACACCGTGCCTCTTTTGACACTGCACTGTCCCTGTTAATGCTCAGTCCCCTATTTATCCCAGCAAGAACTGAAAGGGAAAGGGAATTGAAGCTCCTGTCCCCAAACTCGGGGTAATTTTGCAGGAGAGATTTATTAAAATGAAGTAGTAAACCCTTCTCCGGCTCTCTGAGGAATATATGAACCAAATGGACACTGTAGAAGGAGAGAGATTTCCTAAGGCTGAGTGGTGCTGCTGGCTTGCCCTCCTGAGCCTAGAATGGAGCAGGAGAAAGGAGCTGCATAGCTGGTGATAAGGCAGGAGGGGGTGAGATAGGCGGGTCCCCCCAGGCCCTCCCAGATTAGGTCTTCCGCTTCATTATTGGTTTGAAGCAAAGCCATTCTATTCTTCTCATCCAAATTCATTTATTCAGCATCTATGAGGTGCAGGACACTGTGCCCAGTGCGGAGCACACAGAGACAAAGTGGAAGGCAGATAAAACATAGATAAGTAAACAGAAGCTAGTTTGGACAGGGTGATAACCATTGGGGGTGCTGGGAATAGGGAAAGCACTTGGTTGGGTGGGTGGTACCTAGGATGTCCGGTGCACTGCTCTTTCCAAATGTGGGTTATTGTGGACTGGGGAGGCAGGTGCCTTCTTTCCCACCCCCCTGCAACCTGGAGTCCCCTTCGTGGAAACTGGGGAAATACGGGGATGGGTTGGAAGAAGCAACCAAACTTTCCTCCCTTCCCCACCCCTCTGTACATCCACTTGGGTCTGGCTGGCCAGTGCATCCTCACTCTCTCTCTCTCTATGCCCTGTTGCTCCACAGTGATGAGCAAGTCACACTCTCAGCTTCCCAAGATGCTGTCTTTGGACAGCTGCTAGCCTAGCTTCCCTTTCTCTCTCTGACCCTCAGTCTCCCCCTCCCTCTTTCTCTTGGGCTCTGCTCCTCTTGAGTCTGTCCATCTACCTGAGCCTGGGACGGGATGGTGGGGACCCCGCTGATTGGATGCCCCATTTCTTCCAGGCCTCAGGGAACGCTGGCAGTCTTGACCGGATCCCTCCCCTCTTCTCCCCCATTCTCTGCTTAGACAGAGGCAGCCCACACACCAGGACCACAGCGGGGAGTGGAGGGGAGGCTGGGCTGGGCCTGGCCAGGGAATGCTGGCTTGGGTTGACCTGGCGTGCTCCGAAGGCAATTAGCCTGACAGATTTAGTGCTCCCGTTGGGATGCTGGTGGGGCCAGGCGGCCTCCAACACAGCCCTGTGCTGGCCTAGGGTGTGACTGGCTCCCCCTCCTTCCGAGAAACGGGGAGCAATTCTGTCAGATGCTTTTCATTGAATGGAGCCCTGCATGATCTCCAGGATGGGATGTGAGGGGTCACCTCTGGAAGTCCCTTTCTCAGGAAGGAGGAAGAGCTCTGGGCTGAGGCCCTGGACTTTGGTCCCAAGGCCTGGATCTCCGATTCCTTCTTGGGATAAGGAGGGCGTTGGATGACATCATCTCCAAGGCCTCTTCCAGAACAACCTTCTCTGACTTTCTGACTCCTGAGCTGGGGCTTGGCCAGGTGAGAGTGAGTTAACTGTGGGCACAGAAGAAGGTGACTTGGACCAGAGCTCCTTGTAGTCTTTCCCATCAGACCAGATGCTCCTAAAGGAAGGGCTGAATCTCCCACGTTAAACCAGGACATCCCTGAGGGCAGGTTCTTTGTCTCCCCCATCAGAACACGGGCTCCCTGCAGGTGGTAGCTGGGCCTTCCCACCAGACCAAGAGCTTCCTGAGAGGAGACACCATATTTCTTCCTAGTTGGTGGTGATTAGTTGTATCAATATAACAAGTCTTTATTGAGCACCTACTATATGCTTGGTGCTGTGGAAGAGGAAAAGAGAAGTGATTTTTCATCTCCTCTCCTTGGGAAATCTCACATTTGGGGCAGTGAGACTCCATGAAGCAATAGGGACCAATGCCAGGCCGTGCTGAGTTGTGTGGTTCAGGGGAGAGCTATTGGGTGTCGGAAGAGAGAGAGAATCCTTTGGATTGGACCGATGAGAGAAGATTTCTTGGAAGTGGGACTTAGGTTGGGCCTGGAAAGATGAGTAAGGCTTTGGGCAGGCAGAAAGGAAGGCCAATCCCAAAGCAAAAGCCTGGAGGGAGGGAATGAATGTGTTCCCTGGGGTAGTGAGGGGACCTACCTGCCTGAGGTGAGGAGTTTGTGTGAGGCTGTGAAAGGAGGCTGGTGTTGGATTGTGTGCATGTGTGTGTGTGTGTGTGTGTGGGGAGGCCTTTGATGCAAAGCTGAAAACTTTGCCTTTTCTTCTTGCAGTAGGTAATAGGTTACTATCGAAGGCTTTTGAGCAGGAGAGCAACACAACAAAAGAGGTCCTAGTCAGGGGTTGGAGTAGGATGATGGGGCCGGAGTAATGTGGGAAGAACGTGGAGGCAATGGACTCGGGGTCAGGAGACTGGCCTTGTCTTTGGGAGTTGGTCTGTCCCTGGGGGGCTCAGCATGTCTCAGGTGCACCGACTCTCCTCCTTCCCCTAGGGCGGTGTATTGGATGACAAGAGTGAAGATTCCAAGTCAGTCTCCACCTTGAGTTTTGGCGTCAACAGGCCCACCATTTCCTGCATCTTTGACTGTAAGTGGTCTTGGGTCATGTGTCCAGTGAAAGGGAAGGGAGGGCAGGGGCTGTGATGGGGACCTTGTGTTTGTGTTTCTGTCAGTACCTGGATGTGGATGGATGTGCCCTGAGTTTTTGTGTCCCTGTAGATGTATATGAGTGAGAGTGTCTGCGTGTATCTGTGTGTATGTGGATAATTATGACTTTGTCTGTAGGTCTTTGTGTGTGTATGTGAGTGTGAAGTGGATGACTGTGTCTCTATGTCTTGTATTTGTGTATCTTTATGTATCTGTATGTACATATGTGGATGTGCATTTATATGAATCTGAGTTTGTTTATCTTGTGTATAATAACATCTGACTTTTTAGAGGGCTGTAAGGTTTGCAAGACACTTCAGAGACATTCTCTTTACCCTGGCCAGCCATGGCACTTCCTACCTCTATCAAGAGAATCTTGGGATTCTAGAATATTAGAGACCTGGAAGGGGCCCCTGAGTCCAACCTGAGTCCACCTCTCACTTCCCAAGCCCTCTGAACTTGAGTCCGGCAGCCATACCCAGGTGCTCACCCTAGTTTTCCTCTCTTTCCCCTTCCATGAAGATGGGAACCGCTATCATCTCCGCTGCTACATGTACCAGGCACGAGACCTGCCCGCCATGGACAAGGACAGCTTTTCTGGTATGTACATGTGTACAGGCCTACCTTGGGGATATGGCGACAGGGGATGTGGGAAGAGAAATCGTTCTGTGAGATGTCTTCTTGGATAGTAAATGACAGAGGTCTAATATGTTGGACCTCTTTCCTTAAGACAAGTCCTGGGAAATCTCCTTTTTTTGAGAGGGAAGGAAACAAGACATATGTTTCTTTAGGTCCAGCCTAATTTCTTTCAGGCCCTGGCCTAATCTTTGGGATTGCTTTCGGCCTAAAAATTTGGGGTTTGTGGGCATTTGTTTCTTCCTGGAGGTCATGCCCTTGCCCCCTAACTTCAAACTGAGTGACCTCATCCTAGGTATCCATGGACTTGTGGGATATGCAGGTGGCTAATAGTAGCCCCTATTTCTCAGGGTTGTTAGGATCAAGTAAAGGACTTTGCAAACCTGAAAACATGCTATGTACATGTTATATACATGCTTGCTATTAGTTATTATGTAGAGGCAAAGATTGCATTGTTTTTCACTTACCATCGAGGGAATAGGTTATAGGGCATAAGTCAGTGCCTTGGGAATAGTAGGCACTTGATAAATGCTAATTAAATAAGTGAATGAATGGATGAATAGGACACAGTATAGACACTGAGAGTCTTGCACATAGTAGGCACTTAGTACATGCTCGTTGAATGAATGAATGAATGTGTAGGACACATACAAAAGTCATGGGCCAGTGATACTGATGACAGAGCCATGCAGATGAGAGGTCCAGCTGAATACAGTAGAGTAAATATGTCTATGAGCTAGGTATTCATCCATCCCTCCATTCATCCATCCATCCATCCACTTGATCTTTTTATTCCTTCAGACTTCTGAGAGGAGTTGGTGAGTTTTTCATGGGGCATGGAATGAGAAAGGGGGCCATTGTCACAGGCAAGAGGAGAGATGGGGAGGAGACACAGGGGAGCAGCCAGCAGGGACTTATGTGGGGCTCTGTCTTGTCTTGAGCTGACTCCAAGAATCCACATCCTTTGCAGGGGCTGGGGCTTTAGCACAGAAGGTGAAAAGAGGGAAGGGGCTGCTGGTCCAGTGGCACAGCCCTCAGGAAGACAGAGTGGGGGGCCCGGAGAGCGCTGGCCTGGAGAAAGTTCAGCCTCAGCTGGAGGAAGTTCCTGGGAGCTGCTGGCTGCGCCTGCCTGCCCTCCCTCCCCTGTCCCTGCGCTGAGCCATATTTCATCAGCCCGGGAACTGTCAGGCTGTGACTGATGATCCCATTAGCCCTCCGCTCTCTTGGCCCTGAGCACGCTCTCCAGCACCCTGGGCACATTTGGAGATTTATGAGCCGTCACCAGGGGTGGTGCGTAAGTGTGTGTGTACGTGTGTGTGTGTGTGTGTGTGTGTGTGTGCATGCTCATTGGAAGGAAGAGAGTAGCCAGGAGTCAGATCGAGTGCGTTGTGAGACATATGGAAAAGTTGGGACCCAGCTTAGTTTTCAAGACTTTGGAGAATCAGTTTGCTCTGTAGGCTGAGTCTCGCCTAAGCCCTGAGCAAGTGGACGAGGCAGCTCATTCCCTTACCCCTCCATGAGCTCAAAGCGACTTCAGCTTGGCCATGGGGAGCACCAGCAGGGCTCGCCTCGGGCAGGAAAGACAGTCTCCTTGGGGAACCAGGGAGAGGCTGCGGGAGCGAGGCAGAGGGACCCGGTCCCTTGGGCTGGGCACAAGCAGGTCACCTGTCTCCTCCATCCCCGTGCTGCTGCCCAGTTGAGGACCAGGCTGTCCTCATTGTCCTCCAGCTTCCAGGCCTGAAAAGGTCCTCTGGAGCTGAGGTCTTCTTGTCTTCCGCCCTAGTCAGACCACGAGTGGAGTGCTGTGGTCAGCATCCCATTTCAGGAAGGATATTGGTAAGCTGGGGAGTGTGCTGAAGAGGGCAGCCAGGATGGGAAAGGGCCTCAAGTCCCCCCTACCATATGAGCAGTGAGGGAAGGAAGCCTGGAGAGGAGAAGGCTTGGGGGTGGGCGTGGGGGTCATGAAGGCTGATACATGGAAGAGGGATTGGCCTTGTTCTGCCTGGCCCCAGAGGACACTACTGGGAGGGGAGTGGGAGGTCGGGGTGGGGTGGATCAGAGGAAATGTCACACTTTCCATTCTGCCCCTTTTGCCCTCCCCCCCAAAATAAACACTCTGCAAACTTTCGGGGGCTTTGCCAAGCAAACTTCCTTGAGGCTCCCTGTCGGGTGTGAATGAAAGAATTGATTGAGTAGCCGCTGGAAAGGAAAGCTGGGGCCAAAAAACCTCCAGTGTTTATTTTCACTCCCAAACACTAAATCAGGGCTGTTTCCCTGCCCCCCCACCCCCAATGAATATGCTCCGAGCTGGGGTGGCTGGGCGGGTGAGCAGGGCCAGGTGGGATTTGCTGATGGAACCTAAGCTTCAGGTGGGAACTTTTTTTTTATCTTAGTGGTGAGGGCATGTTATAGGAGTGAGCTGGGATGAGGCTGTGTCTCCACATGGCCCCTTTGGGGGAGCCCTCAGCCCTTCAAGTGCGGGTGCTGAGGGACGAGTCAGCGACATTGACCTGTGAAATCTGACTCAGGAAAAACTCCAATGTTTCGACCTTCCCGTGCCCTGCCGTGCTCTTCATTGTAGCCCAGCCTAAGCTGGACAGCGTCTCCTTCGAGGACAAGGCAAAGCACCAGCCCAAAGGGAACGAATTCCCCTCGGCCCCCCAAGCCTTGCACTTCCTGCTGCTACTGAATTACATCTTCCCCATGAGCATGGCACTCGGTCCTTAAGTGTCTTGGTTTAAAAGGAGGGCATTTCATCATCCCTTCCCTTCCAACCCTCAGTCAGAAGCCCTAGAAGTGGACGTAGGTGAGGGGCTGGTCCATGGGACATAGTGGAAGGTCCTGGGTTCGTGTCCCAACTCTACCAGTGTGTCACATGGCCTTGGGCAAGGTCCCCAACCTCTGTGAGCTTCAGTTTCTCCATCTGTCTTTGGGGAAGATTAATGCTGACCTGGCTTACCTTGGGGGGATGTTGGGAAATCTCTTTGGGACCTCAATATCATCATACAACTGTAAGACCTTGACTGAGTCCCCTAACTTGCAGTTTACTCTGGGGTAAAATTAGGGGGATGGGCTAGATGGCACCTGAGGTCTCTCCCAGCCCTAGATCTGGCATTTCTGTGGCAGTGTTGGAAGAGAAGAGGTCCATCTAACAGAGCATTGAACCCTGGGCTTTGTAAGTCAGGACTTCAGGAAACGTGCCATTTGGAAGTGCCCTTGGCGGGCATCTGGGCCAGCGGTGTCCAAATCAAATAGAAACAGGGTCTGCTCAGTCAAACGTAAGAATTCCCGTGGGCTGCATATTGACTTAGAAAACCACATATGTCTATATATTTCTTCTTTTATTAATATATCAACACGTTAAATTCAGATGGGAGCGGCATTTTCATCTGTTTCTGACCACATTTGGGGGGCCTCGTGCAGCCTCTGACACGTCTGAGTCTGGCCAACCTGTATTTGTACAAGAATAAAATCTACAATGTCTCTAGCCACTGCTTGGAGACCTGTAGTGATGGGAAGCTCACTACCTCCCAAAGTGGCCCAGGCCACATTAGGATAGCTGTCAGTGATAGGACTAAAACCTGCCTCTCAGGACATAGCTCCCAGACCTGCCCTCTGGAGCTGGGAAGGAGAGAGCCGAAGTCAAGGTTATCCTTTTCAGTTTAGTGTATTACCCCTGGGCAGCCTGAAGGTCAACATCTGGCCTTCTGAGCGTTTGCTTCCATTTCCCCCAACTCAGAGGAATGCCACTGAGGCACGGTGGGGAGAGGGCTGGTCTCCGAGAAGGAAGACCTGGGCTCCAGACCTGCTTCTATCCCATACTGCCTGGGGGACCCTGGGGAAGTGCTCTGTGGTCACTTCTTTCAGACTTGAAGTTGTAGACAGGTTGGCGTTCTGCCTGAGAGGAGGGCCTTGCCAGGTGGATGGAATCACAGGTTGGACCAGTCAGGGAAGTCCCGGGCCAGGTGGCTCTGCATAGGCTGGTTCCGGGCAGCAGTCTGAGGAGTGATGCTGGCCGTGGGAGCCGGGGAAGACCCCAAGGCGACCTGGAGGCTTTCTCCCTCTTTCCTCTCTCCTCTCTCCTCTCCCCCACCTCCTTAGAGGCTCCTCCTTTCCTGCTTTTCCAAAAGAAGTAAAAACAATACCTTGCATTGCTCTAGGGCATTGGCGGGGGTCATCGGAACATAGGTTCAGAGCCGCAAGAGACATCGACGACCATCTCATCCCATCTCATCCCTTCCTTTCACTTTTGAGGAAACTGACCCCTGGACGAGTGTCCCGTGTCACGTATGTGATAAGTAGTAGAATGCATTTTCCCAAGGACGATAGCAGGCACTTAGCTTCGTGCCCGGCACGCAGTAGGGACATAATATATGTTTACTGACTGACTGACCGACCGAGGCTCAGCTACCTGCTGGTTAGTGTTAGTACGTGAACCCAGGTCTCCTGCCAAGTCCAAGGGTCTTTCCACTCCACCAGGTTCGGCTGCCTTCCTGAAGGAGGCAAGGCGGCTCTTTTCTGGATTTCTCTTCCCGACCCTCCCCCCTTCCTCCCCTCCAAACACTTTGGGGGGAAAACCCAGGGCAGCCGTGAACAATGCAGCAGTGTCTGCTCGCCACAATGCCTTTGTTGTGTGTGCGCGTGTCTGTGTGTGTGCGCGCGCGTTTCCCCCTCCCGGGGGTGCAGGCGTGCGTGCATGTGCGTGTATGGATTTTTTTTAAAAGGCCCGCTTCCCAAGCGTTCCCCTCTCTGCCCCGGCCCATGGGGCAGCTGGAGGGGAGTCGGGGTGGGGGTCCAGCAGCAGCCCGGGCCCCACCGCTACAATGCCCAATTGTGGTCTTTGTTGAAACGCTGGCGGGACTGGGGGCCTCCCGCTTATAAAAATAAAGCATCGGGGAAGGAGCGGGGGGCTGGAACAAAAGGGGCTTTTTGGAGGGGCGGCCTTTAATATACTGTGGCTCTAT